TATTATAAATAGAAATACATTTGTTCTGATTTTTTTAAATATTAAAGTTATAATACATTATGTTTTATTATAAATTTAATAAACTGATTCTCCTTTTTGTAGTATTAATATTATGATAAATTCTATTTATAAAAAAAAGATTATGATAAATTCTGATTTCTTATAAAACTTAATGAATCTATTATGATTTTTAATACTAAATTTATAATAAATTATGATTTAGTATAAAATTTATTCTGATTTTTATATTAAATGTAGAATATGACTTATTATAAAATTTAATAAACATTTTMTGATTTTAATAAATATTTTAAAAAATACTAACTAGTTAATATTTTATGTTTTATATTATAAAGTAATTATTTTATTCTTTTGTTTTTATATTTTGTTAATTCTTTTTTATAAATATTTTATTTGAAATATTAGTCGACATCTTGTTGACATAATAGGAAAAACTGTATTTTTTTTTTGGTTATTTGGACCGATTTGGTTGACATTTCTGAAATATAGGAAATGTCGACCGACATAATGTAATTTTTATATTACCATCCATTTTCATGTCGGTGAGCCTCGATATCGATATATGTCGGGCGACATTTGGCGACATTTGAAACCATGACCTCAAGTTCCCACTTTCACAAAATAGAATTGTATCATCTGCAAACTGTAAGTGGGTAAGGGGGACTTCCTCCCTCCCGAGTCTCCAACCTCTTAAAAGGCCCCTAGAATCTGCTTTATGAATTAGTCTCCCCAGGACATCAGCAACCAGAGTGAATAGAAAGGGAGATAGGGGGTCCCCTTGTCTTATTCCCCTTACGGTTGGAAAGAAACCCACCACTGTCCCATTCACTAGCATAGAATATTGACAGTTCCGAACACACCTCATGATCCGTTTACACCATCTAGTCCCAAACCCAAATTTGGACATAAGTTTCTTCAAGAACGATTGTTCCACCAAGTCATAAGCCTTTTCCAAATCCAGCTTACAAACCACTCCCTTCTTCATGTTCTTTGTAAAATTCTCCACACTTTCATTGGCAATCAAGATTTGATCAGTAATTTGTCTTCTACTCACCAAAGCTCCTTGATTTGGAGAGATTATTGTTGGCAATACTTCCTTCATCCTCAGAGACAAAACCTTTGCTAGGATCTTATACAAGCTATTTACTAGACTGATTGGCCAAAAGTCCTTTGGGTGGGACACATCTTTCTTTTTTGGGACCAATGCTAAGAAAGTGGAGTTCAAACTCGGGTTAACCACATCTCTTCTATAAAATTCTTCAAGCACACTAG